TGAACTTTGACCCCTGCTAAACCCCCTTCAGCATACTCAAAAAACTCACCGTTTTTGATAACTTTTAGATGGGACATGCCTTGAACAGACTGACGGAGTTTGAAGCCCATCAATCGAAATCCCTAGGAGGAGTTTGAATCAAATACGAAGGCTGTAAACGGCAAAAAATGGGTCAAATCCAAACTTCAATCCACAAATGGCTGACTTCCTGTGGGGTTTAGACAATGGCTCCAAGAGACTTTTTTTTAAGTCCTGACAAGGTACACACGTGTACAAAGTTTCGTAATTGTAGGTTAAAGCATGGCTTGGGGCTGATCATTTAAAGTGTTCTAGGGGGCGCTATAGAGAAATTAGGCCACACCCACCAAATATTGTGATGGATTCCTGTCGGGGAGTGGATGAAGATCCATCCTTGTGAGTTTGCAGCAGCTGGGCCCGAAAATGTGGAATTGAGAGCCAAACGTATGGCGATGGCGTTACAGGTCACTTCGCCACGCCGCCACGCCCACCTCCTCCATCGAAGCTGGTCGGGGTTGGAATCCTCAAATACACCAACATGTTTTCTGTGTCTGGGCACAGTTTCATGTTGATGAGGTCAAAGGGGTCAGATAGCGACAGTTCACAGTAAAACATGACACTTCCTGTTCTCAGGGGGCGTGGCCTAAGTGATGTCATCATTCGACCATAGGGTATTGTAGGGCAGCGATGATGATCAATCACAGTAACTTTGGTGCCTCTGTGAGTTTCTGTGTAGGAGATATAGCAGATTATTTTTTTACGGCGAGTAGGTGAACTTTGACCCCTGCTAACCCCCCTTCAGCATACTCAAAAACTCACCGTTTTGATAACTTTAGATGGGACATGCCTTATGAACAGACTGACCGAGTTTGAAGCCGGTCAATGGAAATCCCTAGGAGGAGTTCGATCAAATACGGAGGCTGTAAACGGCAAAAATGGGCTCAAAATTGGACCTTCATCCAAAATGGCCGACTTCCTGTGATACTTGCACTATGACATTATTGTAATTTGAGCATCTTGGGGAGCTCTACAAGTGTACCAAATTTCATGTCTCGATGAAGTAAGTGAATAGCAAAGGGTCCTTTGAAAATTTCTAGTGGCGCTATTGAGCCATTTCTTGTGGAATTTTTGCGACGACTTTAAAATACGTAAATTTGAAACAGGCTTAAGGCCTCGCAAAGTTTGGTGAGTTTTTGAATATGATAAAGACCCCAAAAAGCCAATTCATTTGGAGGAAGAATAATAATAAGAAGAAACAGTAGGAAAACAATAGGCCTTCGCAGCGCTTAGCTGCTCGGGCCTAATTAAAAGCTGCAAGCAGCCTCGAACGGCCTCGCAGCCAAGCGCCGCTCCGGCCTATTGCACAGCGGGGTACGAGGAACCGCCGCCTCACGTCACCACCACAGAAGCTCTCACGCAGTTTTCAGCTCCTCCGCCCGCACCGGAAGCTGTGTTGCTCAGTTTCATCAAAGCTGCGCACGTGCTAAGACAGAAGTTGTTGCGCAGTTTCGCGCCCGTCCACCAGGCGGTACGCATCTATGCGTTCGGCGGCTATCCTTGACGATGCAAAAAAATGTGGTATAGATCATTGCTTTAGCGAGGAAATATAGCTGGCGGATTAATGTAGACGCGAGTGGAGTCAAAATATATTTCAATGCTGTTGTTCTCTTTAGAGGTCAACAAAGGTCATACGTATCCAATTTGGCGTCAGTCGGATGATCCACGTGACATTTACAGCCGATCATATGCACATAGCGAAGTACTACAGTTCGTCATTTTTCATCATTTTCAGCTGTGTTTCTAAAGCACTGTATTTCATTGTTGGAGTAATACTTACTCAGAGTGGCGAATTACTGAAATGGTTTGTAAGAAGTAAGAAAACGCTACATTTACTGCATGATTTAATTCAACAAAAAAATATCTGAGACATTTCTATCCTTTTAGAAATGTCATGGCAACACACTCACAAAGTTTTCACGCCATCCGCCCGTGGATCTGTTTATCATCGGTGGAGGAACACTGACACCTACTGGCGAAATACTGATATTGTTCTTCATCCTGATTATCTGCTGTTTCATTTGTGGAGCAATACTGACCCCAAGTGGCGAATTACTGAAATGGTTTATAAACGGCAAAAATGGGATCAAAATCTGAACTTCAATTAAAATGGGCCGACTCCTCTGGGGTTTAGACCATGGCTCCAAGAGACTTTTTTGTAAGTCCTGACATGGTACACATGTGTACAAAGTTTCGTAATTGTAGGTTAAAGCATGGCTTGGGGCTGATCATTTTAAATATTCTAGGGGGCGCTATAGAGAAATTGGGGCCACACCCTACAAATATTGTGATGGATTCCTGTCGGGGAGTGGATGAGGATCCATCCTTGTGAGGTTGAGCAGCTGCGCCCAAAAATGTGGAATTGAGAGCCAAAACGTATGGCGATGGCGTTACAGGACACTTTGCCACGCCGCCACGCCCACCTGCCTCCATCGTAGCTGGTCGGATTAGAATCCTCAACACACCAACATGGCTTCTGTGTCTGGGCACAGTTTTATGTTGATGAGGTCAAAGGGGTCAGATAGCGACCTTTCACAGTAAAACATTACACTTCCTGTTCTCAGGGGGCGTGGAATAAGTGATGTCATCATTCGACATACGGTATTGTAGGACACCCGATGATGATCAATCACAGTAACTTGGTGCCTCTGTGAGTTTCTGTATAGGAAATATAGCAGTTTATGTTTTATGGCGAGTAGGTGAACTTTGACCCCTGCTAACCCTCCTTCAGCATTCTCAAAAACTCACCGTTTTGATAACTTTAGATGGGACATGCCTTATGAACAGACTGACCGAGTTTGAAGCTGATCAATCGAAATCCCTAGGAGGAGTTCGATCAAATACGGAGGCTGTAAACGGCAAAAATGGGGTCAAAATCTGAACTTCAATCTAAAATGGCCGACTTCCTGTGGGGTTTAGACCATGGCTCCAAGAGACTTTTTTGTAAGTCCTGACAAGGTACACATGTGTACAACGTTTCGTAATTGTAGGTTAAAGCATGGCTTGGGGCTGATCATTTAAAGTTTTCTAGGGGCGCTATAGAGAAATTAGGCCACGCCCACCAAATATTGTGATGGATTCCTGTCGGGGAGTGGATGAAGATCCATCCTTGTGAGGTTGGAGCAGCTGGAACAGAACTGTGGAATTGAGAGCAAAACGTATGGCGATGGCGTTACAGGTCACTTCGCCACGCCGCCACGCCCACCTGCTCCATCGAAGCTGGTCAGGGTTGGAATCCTCAACACACCAACATGTCTTCTGTGTCTGGGCACAGTTTCATGTTGATGAGGTCAAAGGGGTCAGATAGTGAAAGTTCACAGTAAAACATTACACTTCCTGTTCTCAGGGGGCGTGGCCAAAGTGATGTCATCATTCGACCATAGGGTATTGTAGGACACCCAATGTTGATCAATCATAGAAACTTTGGTGCCTCTGTGAGTTTCTGTGTAGGAGATATAGCAGTTTATTTTTTACGGCGAGTAGGTGAACTTGACCCTGCTAACCCCCTTCAGCATACTGAAAAACTCACCATTTTGATAACTTTAGATGGGACATGCCTTATGAACAGACTGACCGAGTTTGAAGCCGATCAATCGAAATCCCTAGGAGGAGTTCGATCAAATACGAAGGCTGTAAACGGCAAAAATGGCCTCAAAATTGGACCTTCAATCCAAAATGGCTGTCTTCCTGTGATACTTGCACTATGACATTAATTGTAAATTTTGAGCATCTTGGGGAGCTCTACAAGTGTACCAAATTTCATGTCTCTAGGATAAAGTAAGTGAATAGCAAAGGGTCCTTTGAAAAATTTGTAGGTGGCGCTATTGAGCCATTTTTTATGGGATTTTTGCAATGACCTTAAAATACAAAATTTTGAAACTCCCTTTACGCGTCCGCCAAGTTTGGTGAGTTTTTGAAAATGATAAAGCCCCCCAAAAGGCCCCTCTTTAGGGGGGCAGAATAAAATAAGAAACAGTAGGAAAACAATAGGCCTTCGCAGCGCTTAGCTGCTCGGGCCTAATAATAAGAAACAGTACAGAAACAATAGGCCTTCGCAGCGCTTAGCTGCTCGGGCCTAATAATAAGAAACAGTAGGAAAACAATAGGCCTTCGCAGCGCTTAGCTGCTCGGGCCTAATAATAATAAACAGTACAGAAACAATAGGCCTTCGCAGCGCTTAGCTGCTCGGGCCTAATAATAAGAAACAATAGGAAAACAATAGGCCTTCGCAGCGCTTAGCTGCTCGGGCCTAATAATAATAAGAAACAGTACAGAAACAATAGGCCTTCGCAGCGCTTAGCTGCTCGGGCCTAATGACTTGCATTTCACAAACTGACCACTGCAAGCTGCTAAGCAATCGCCCAACGCGCAAAAAGGGGAACCAGCTATGATGGGAACTGCATGAGAGCTGGGGAGGGCAGGTCGTGGTGAAATACTGAAACAGGAAGTTTGAGGTGCAGCAGGAAGAGACGATCTCACAATAATTCACCGGCTAATTTTACCGACACGCCACCAGGCACGAGAAAGTATTATTAACTGTGAAACGCGCATGTTTATCATGCAAGAAAGTTTTTCTTAAGCAGAAGCATGACATCAACTCAAAGGCCACTTTGTTGGTGAGCGGAGGATTACAGCAACCGAATCATACAAATGTTTTGTAGCAGGCTTGCCGTTGGAAGAATTTTTGTAAGTGTCTTGCGTCGACGCGTTCAGAAACGTGACACAAGACCTTCCAAACACTGTCAGCGCAGCTTCGCCTGCCTTTAAAATCTCACAATTTAACCACAGAAGTCAACAAGGTCATGTGAAGAAGCTTTCTGGCTCACATGGAAACGGCAAAATGAGGAAGTTTAGATGAAATTAGAGCATTCAACTGAAAACGCAGCTGTCGACTGGCTATTCCTGAACTTTCAAAGAAAAAAAAAGAGAAGAACTCACTCTGGTTTCTATTACCTGAATATTTTTAATTTGACAATAAATTCACTAGAACACCAAAAAAAACAACAATACTGTAGTTACAAAGATAAAGTGTAGAAGGTATGTACATTTTGATAGGCAACACAATACAGCTTGTAATGAAACATTTGAGTGGTAACATCTATTGCACAATCTTGACATTTTTGGCTTTAATAATTACATACACTATAAAGTACAAACCAAGATAAGATAATTCCTCAAACGCATTTACAATTTTCACAAGATTTCTGTGTAAACTGGCAAATTTTATAGGTGAAGCTCTTCAGTCGACTCTGTCAGGCTAAAGTGAAAGGATGTTGCCTTGCGAGTGTCAGAGCTGTGTGAAAGCTGTGAGAAAGCAGACATGGAGATATTTTTATTGCATTCATGATAAGATATGACATGCGCTATTCCTCTTCTGGGTTGTGAAAAGTCACATTAAAGACAAGCCCACAACGGTAGTTCTCACTACTGAAAGCGTCTGACTTCTGTGACAACAACAAAAAAGCTAAAGACATTTTTGTTTTGACTAAAAGCCTTATTGCAAAGTTCCAGAGGAACCCTGGAGGGATTCCCTTTGGGCTGTCACGCTAATACTGACTCATTTCATTTTGTTTTCAACCTTATTGACAAAGTCTTTACTCGGTTTGTGAAAAGAGAAGTTCCGAATGTCAGTGTGGTTCATCTCCCACGTGCCCCTCATGTCCGTTTGTGGCGACCAGGTTATTCCAGGCGGCCTTGAACGAATGCCAATGCAAATCTGGCGCCGCGGCGGCGTCAGTGTAGAAGTTCGGGGGACGCCTGCAGTGCTTAGTCCTGAGGAGGAGTTTGGTTTATCACCTTCTTCTTCCTGACCGAGACCAGGTCGTAGAACGGATCCTTGGTGATACTCGCCCTGTTTCCAGAAAAGACGGTTGACATTAGTTGATTGTGGTTTTAAATTTATTAACCCTTTCGCAGGCTAAATCATCCACCATGACTTTAATGTCCTCAACAGAGATATGCTCAAATAGAATTTCCAATTCCCCCTCAGAACATATTCTGAATTGACTGATTTGGATTAGGATTAGGATTATGTCGGGGTGGATTTGCTTGGTGTGTTACCTGATGGCCTCAATCCAGGCGTCTCTCTCTTCAGCGCTGGAGGCACAAATGGTGTAGGACTGATGTTTTCCCTCCACCACCCTACCGTCCGTCTCCGTCTTACACGCCTTGATCTTCTGCCCGTGACTGTTGGGGTTGTACAGCTCCAGACAGTACTACATGACAGTATGTGTCAGACATTGGAGTTAGTCCAGTATAAATATTGAAATGTTTGTTGTTTTTTTTCTAAAAATCGAACTCAGTGTACTCTTCCTTTCAGTTTCAGGCAGATTTGAGTAGCTTTTTACAACAAGGACGTGTTGAAAGTCTTTCTGAATCTTACCGGTTTGCGAGGGTACGGCACTTCCCTCACGCTCAGGTTTTCTAGTGGAATGATACCTCTGGGTTCTTTATCCTGAAAAATAAAACGTTTTGAAGAGACGGATCACATTAGGTTATATTTTATAAGAACGAAAGGAAGAGACAAACGTCATCTGCATGAACTGTAATACCAAAAGGAAACGCATGGAAAAGCTGTGTTTATAAAGTTGAAAAAAAATTTTCCTTTGAATATTTAAACTGTTTAGTTTGTACTTTTTTATCTTAAGCTCTCAGTGTTTGTTCACTTGGGAAGTTTTCATAAATTAGTGTGTCTGGTTAAATCCTTACTGCTGTATACTCGAAGTAGTAGAGGCAGCTGTCTGTCAGGATGAACCATCGCCTTTTCCACGTTTTAACACGACCTCCTGAAATACAAAGACGCAGCAGAAGTTAAACTTATTTTCTATATGCTGCCAGTTATTACTGGACACGGGCTTGTTAAAAATTCCCTCGCTAAAAACAAAACTACTGAGGTTGTTTGCGCCAATTGAGGCCTTGTGCAACCAGCCACTTATGTTTCCATGCAAACAGTCCAAAGTTGAGTTATTCTCGAAAGACTTCCTCTGTACTTTCCTGCAGTCGTTCAGTGCATACTAGATTGGTCAGAGTTCTGTTGATTTAATAAACTAGCTGTGATTTCAATAAATAAAAGGGACTTGCCGAGTTTAAGGAGCCAGCCTTCTCTGTCAGGGTTGAAAAACGTGTGGGTCAGATCATTTCCATCATCTTCTGGGATTTTGAAAGGCTCGTTGCGTATGCTCTCGTAGAGTTTCTAAGAGCACAAGAGTTGAAATCAATAGAGGCACATTTGCTCCTGTGGGCTAATCCGTCATCGGCAAGGCCGGTCAGGATAATGAACGCAACAAAAATTAGTCATCGCCTTCAAAATTCACTGCCACTACAAAACCAAAGAGTAAGATTCAATCTAAATTCGTTTCATGCTGAAGAGTTTCATGGCTGAATTGAGCTGGAGGGTCTTACGGAGAGAAGCTCGTTGGGCAGATCCTCGCCGTTGTTGATCCCTCTGTTCATCGAGATGAATCGCTCCAGGGTGGTTTTGTCCTTCACGTTGGGGTTGTGGAGGCTTGTGTTCAACATGATTATGGCAAATGACAGGATGTAGCACGTGTCTGGGTTTGAAGAGGAACGGAAAGCACATGTTAAATTCAAAGGAAACCCATCAAGAAAATATTATCTTGCCCTGGTATTTATGTACGTCAAACTTTTTAACATTATCACATTTCAGCTACCAACTTCAATATGTTTCATTGGGATTGATTATGATATTCCGCAACAAAGTAATGTATGATGATAAAGTTTTGGTAATATGATTGTTTTGGGGGGCATTAGCATTGTGAAAACCAGCCCCTGTTCTGCTCTATGGAGGGTATGGAGAGACATTTTCCTTACTGGAGGCAGACTCTGTTGAAGTTTAACATTTTAGCCAAATGCAAACGAACACCTATGATGCATGCAACGCTCCAGCTTGACGCTGTGATGCTTACCGGAAATTGTTTGTGCTGCGAACAACCATCCTCCAAAGCGAAGAGAGAAGTGCCGAACCAAAGCCTTTGAATGTTCAACAATCAGAAGCATTGCCAACCCAGACCTCATTGCTAAAACTACAGACAGACTGCAATTCTAAAACAATGACATTGTCGCTCTGCTCAGTGATTGGCCTGGTCGAATATCTGGCAGAGGAACACAAGTGAATGGGTGAAAGCCCTGCATGTCTGCGAAGTTTTATTCAAGCGCAATAGCACAGAAAGGCAATGCCCAGGCTGTGTATTTCTTCAAATAAACTTGTACAAGTCTTTGTGTACCTTTGTATTCCCCCCTCTCTCGCTTTTTTTTCCTCTACTATAGTAGCTTTAAAAAGCCAGTGCCACCACTTGTCTTCAGACGTCATGTAGTCAGTAAATAGCGTCCACTTGTGTGGACTTTAATCTGATGATAATTGTAGCTGTTCTGCTAACACTTGTGAGCAAACAGCATCGTGAAGGCCAGGAAACGCATCAAACAGACTGAGGATGTGGGAAAATTCAAAGCAGGGTCAGGCCATAAAACAATATTTTATGCTCTGAACAATCCTTCAGAGCACGGTCAAATCCATCATCCTTGATTACTCTGGGCATTAAGCAGCAAAGCAGCCAAGAGGCCCACTCTGGAGAAGCTTCATGGAAACACAGTCAGATGTTTTTGAATATCTGATTTGAGAAGGTAAGCGTTGAAAGAAAATCAGAAGAAATCAAATTCAAAGATGGCCACAAGCCATATGCATGACCGTTCCCTTCCTACGTGATTCCACTCGATTGTGATCTCGCTTCACAGCTCAGTCTGGGATTTCTTCCACTGACTTGGATTCCTGTGGTACTATGTCAACCGCACCAATCAGCAAACAGAAGGAGAAGCTGTGAACGTCGAAGTTGCTGTTTTAGAATTGCAGTCTGCCTGTAGTTTCAGCAAATGCAACGGAGGAAGTGAATAAAGCTGTGTTGGTCGCGCTTCCTTGAATCAACATCAACAGTCGAAGATGGTCGTTTACAGCGCAGACAACTTCTGGTAAGCTTCATAACGGCGTCGCTTATGTTTGGCGAACGTCATTGCCAAACATGAGCGATGGGGTAAAATGTGAAACTTGAACACAGCCCACGCCTCCAGACGAGAACCTCGTCATTTGTCTGTGGTTTTCATTCAGTGTGACTGATGGGTATATATTTCAGTACCTGTGAAAAGCTGGTAAAAGTACTTCAAAATACCTGTGGTTTTAATTGCAGTGAAAAATTGACTCACAGGGGTCAAATACATTTTGCATTTCTAAAAAAAAATAAGACATGTCTATTTTTTCCTATTTCACAATTACTTCATGTTAGTCTACCAACTTTGTGGTTTTTGAGAGACTAAATGGGACAAAGTTCCTTTTAAATTTTTTTGTCTCTCCATATAAATATGTAAATGCCATTGAACAGAGATAGAAAAAAAAAGTCAGAAAGCAGTGAGGATCAAAGCTCTGGTGTGATCATGTAAAAATATCCCCTCTTGTTGCTCTCCCACAAGCTTGACAAACACACACACACACACACACACACACAGTTGCAATGTAGACAGGAAGTAGGTTGGTTTTGTAACCTGTGGACTGGAAGACCTGGGGGTTGCATTCACAGTAGCGTGTGGCGAAGGCCTCCATCATCCGGTCAATTTTCTGAGCTTCACCGGGCAGACGGAAACTCCACAGGAACTGTCTGTCACATAAACATAAAACATTTATCAACTCGTCATACTGAGACGTGAGTAGGTGGACGGTAGGCTGTTGGTCTGGCTGCTACACGTTCACCGTGTGCCTGCGGATGCCTCAACACGTCAATTTGACCACTGTGATAATCCGGGCTAAGCGTATTTTATGTCACTTTCTGTTTCAGACAACGATTGCTGGTTGCTGTTGCACAAGTTAAGCAAAAATATTGAGCAAATTGGGAATAATTATAGTCTAGACTTTTAAAAATATCTTTCTTGCTGCTACACTTGCTTACTTGTGTTCTGAAAATATATCTACCTGCGGTCCTTGTGTTTTTTTAACTGAAGCTTGAAAACGTCACTAAGGTTTCTTAACCGAGCTGTTTCATTAGCTCCAACCCCTAATTAGTATCCTGAACCGTCTGATATCTGCACAAAACAACAATGACGATATCACTTTGACATTTAGATCATAGGGATTAACTACAATTAGTCACAGAATAAAAAGATTAAATCTGAAACCGCAGCCTTTTTCCTTTCTAACTTTGCACCTGATTGCCTTCATGTTAAATGATCGCGTTCGTTTTGCTGCATTTGTGTCATTTCTGTTGCAAAAACACAACATAAATTTAGAACACATGTCAGAGGGTTTTGAAAAGCGAAAAAGAGTTTCATTTTGGTCAGTGATGTAAATAGGCCACCCTTAACTTTTAAAATGTCATTTACAGCAAATCCGTCAGTCTTGGTTGCTTGTCTTTGGTAAAAGTTGTCTTTGCAGCTCACATGAACATGAGTGATGCTGGCGAGCAGATTAAATAGGTTATGTTAAAAATGTCAGTGACTGTGTGGTGAAAGGTACGTGTCGGTCGTAGATGAGGCCTACATGGAGTGACATTTCAGAGCAAGCAGCACTCCGCCTCTCACCTTCGGTTTGTGGTTAGTCTTAGGTGAGGGCTTGGCTTTATCCAGCAAATCAACAACTGTGTTGTGGGTTATGATCCTGCACAATTTTTTTCTTGAATTATGAATGGATGAAACATTTTGTGTCTTTTTTCAGAGTTTGTCTTATTGGTTAATCTCTTCGATGCCCATTATTAACAGTTTTATGTGAATTTCTCCTTTTTCCCCAAATATAATAACAATTTTCATACAAAAATTTTCTGAATCGGGACTTTCAGGAAAAGAGAATAACCAGTTTTTATTTGTCTAAAGGCATTCCAACGTCTCCTCATAAGTTGCTGGCACTGGACATTTTCCAGTCGATTGTACATCAAAACAAACACTAAAATGCAAAGTGTGTGTTTTTCATAAGTCTCAAAATGAACTAATTCTCTTTTTTGAGCATTTTGTGAATCGGACTAAATTTAAAGGAAGCGGCACATACTGAGTCATACTCTGAATTTAAAAGAGATGCTGAGATATGAAACAGCACCCACCGATCTACTCGAAATTAAAACAGAATCTCCGTTTTGACTCCCAACGTTTGGGTCAAAATACGTTAACGCCGGTCATAAATGCAAAAAATTTGATGAAAGCTACAGGAAAAATGGACAAATACAGTCAACTCACATTGCCATTATTTTTTATTATTATTGTTGTTTTTGCTAAGTGGCACAAAGATTATACTGATGAGCCGCTGGGCTCTTTCCACATTTGTTTTCACTACTGAAAATACTGTTCCAGAGCACAAAGCATTCTTTAAGTTATTGAAATGAACTCAAAATCAAAATGTTTGTGTCTATTTGATACGATGCTCTGCTACTAACCATCAGTTGTTGGATGTTTCTCAGCTGAAAAGCTTGATTTACAAGTAATCTGTCATGTTGTTTAAATCTGCTAACATGTAGCATCTTTCTACAACAGCTAAGGGAACTATTAGCAATTTGAACTTAAAAGAACGTATTTTAAGAAAAAAAAATGAGTTAAACTTTCACATTGAACAATCAGTGCCAGACCTTTGTTAATGTTCATATTATTTCCACACCCACCAACAATCTGTTAAATATAGATAATGCCGACTATAAATGTCCTGGCTGTTTGGCGCCCACTCTAGCGCAGCACCCCTTTGTGTCGCACATGGTGCACACCTACGTTTTGTGCCACGGGCTATTGGCAAGCTTCCCGTGGGTGAACTGGGAAGTGAACATTTGTAGCATTTACCACAAAGCCTGAACAACCCACAATGCTCGACGTCATGCAAAGAAAGTGAGACTGAAGGAGACCGACCTGAGCGCCAGGACCAGGTGGAGGTCAGCGAACTCGTGCAGCTCCACAAAGGCTTTCAGGGTCTGAAGGTGAAGCTCTTCCCTGTGTGACGGAGGAAGAGAATAAAACTCCTGAAGGGGTTTGTAACAAAATCTGCAGCCCTCATCTCGCTACGTGGCATACATTATTTCTTAAAGTTTGCTTTGTTTTGTCAGCTTTCGAATGGAAAAAAAAATCTTATTTTTGTAGACAAAGTTCTAAGGATTTTTCTAAATTTTCTCCCTTTTTTCTTTAGTTTTTCTTTGTTTTGCTTTTTCCCTGCTGTGTTTTCTCCTGCCCCCTCCATGCATCACCTCTCTCCGAGAAACTCTCCGATGGCCGTCTTGTTGAGTCCCTCCTCCTTGTACAGAAACTCCGCAATGGATTTTGCAGTTCCGTCCAGCAGCTTGTTCTCCACCAGGAAATTGATGCCCTGCAGCAAACGGGAGAGAGTCCGTAAGGAGAGTCTTGGAAAGTTCAAAGAAAAAAAAAACATTCTCATTTTAGCTCATATCAGACATGCTCGTTTTGTACCAGCTGCAGCTTCCTTTATGAAATATATTACAAATCACACCCTAAAAAAACAAAAAGCTTTTTCAAGCAATTTCTGTGGCTCAGAGTCAGCAGAAATCATTTCCATTGTTAGATTTTGTCAAAGCAGTTTTCCCAACCTTGCCCTCCATGCAACATTTTGGTTTCTCAATGATCTCATCTGTAGCTGGTAAATGAGGTTCTTGCAGCTTCTGTAATCCCAATTCCTTAAATCTAATCTCTATTCCCTTTTTCTGCTCCATCGCAGGGCTTTGAGGAGAAAGCCTGATTAGAAACGTACCGCTGTGACACACATTTCCGCGATGCGCAGGTCGCGCGTTTCTGTGCACTAATGTGGTTTAATTACCGCTGGCAGGTATTGCAGGTTTCCCTTCCTGCTTTAGACATATTGTCCTGAAGGAAGTAAAGAAAGGAGCCATTTAAACAAGTGGATCGGTCTCAAACTCAACCTAACCCACCCGAATGTCAAATGTCGCCATCTCAGCTTCTCCCTTTCTTGATCTTACTACAGCGACACGCTTGGCCTTCCAGCAAAACCACAGAAACCCGGCAGTGGCTTTCTGTCAGTGCGGTTCACAGGCTTACAGCAACAGAGAGGAGCGAAGCGGAAATGACACAACTGCTCAGTGTGTTGGGCTGAAATGCACTTAGACCGCCAAGAAGCAAAGAGGCCTCCAAAGAAATGGCAAAGTAAGAGGCGAACTTGTTCATTTTTCACTGATAACTGTGCCTCAGCAGCCGAAGGTTGAGAAAAGCCTCGTGTTTTTGGCCTACCTTTTTTGGGTCCATGTTGAATTTCTTCTTCCCGTTTAAGAACCGCTGGTTCTTCTCGATAGTTTTGCTGTAATTCAGAAAGCATTGAGGAGAACTTGATGTTTTTTCTGCTCTGTCAGAGTGAAAGCTAAATGTGTTGCCACATTTGTTCAAATTTTAACAAAATTGAGACAATTTCTATTCCCTAAAAACCTCCTCAATTCAACTCAGTTTGCTCATATAGCGCCACTGTCCAACAAATCTCATTTATTTACAAAAAAAAGTCATTTCAATTCAATTGCACATGCATTCCAATTCATCCTGGTGAACAACCAGTACACTGAGCTCCATTTATTGTTCAAATTAGCTTCAAAAGTTTCTGTCAGGAAACGCAGCAGATTGCATTGAGTCACTGCCTTGCATTGTCTGTTGTCCCAACAACAGACAATGTTGTCGCCTTTGCATCAATCTGTCACACCAAGCATGCATGTGGCAACAGTGGAGAGAAAAAAAAACTCTCCTTCAACAGGAAGAAACCTCCAGCAGAACCAGAACCCGGCTCCGAACAAACAGGCATCTGCCACGTCTGACGCGCTGCATCCTGAAGTGACTGGTGGCATTTTTAGTACATCACCTTCCATTTTAAAAGAATTCAAAGTTTGGGGCTTTCCCTGTTCTGTCACGGCCTTACATACAACGGGGCTCGATATCATTCACACCCCAAATCTAGATCTAAAGTTATTTTTATTCAAGCGCGAATCCTATTTGTTGTAAATGCCAAAGGAATCTCCTAAAAGACAGTAAACCAGGTTTATTATTATTATTCCTGGTTGATGAAAAATGGTGCTGAATGCTCCTTTAAGTCCTTGTCTGTAGTCACTGGAAGAGCCTTCGTTGGTTCTATGGTAACCAAAGACCACGTATATTTGCTACAAGTCTGTTTACATCTTTCTGTTGATAATTGATCATTGGTCTCTGGTGATGACCGGCGCAGTCTATGACTTCCTCCACAGCTTCTCTAGCTACTGAATCTGAGGCAACAGAATGAATCATTTTAAGACAAACTGTATCTCTGTTCTGTGGTTCTCAAACTCTAATACAAGAACCATTGAAGGTGCCTGGACTACCTTCAGTGGTTCTTGTACTAGTAATCGAAGTACTTTCAAAGGTACTTCAGTTAGTTTTACTAATTGAAATACGATTTGACCAGGCTAACTACGATTAGCTTAAACAATGAGATTTACTAACTGAAATGCTCTCTATCCAGGCTAAGTACAATTAGCATGAGGATCTATAAACATTGTAATTTTTTTGGCACTATGTACTGCCAAACCACTAAACAACATGTTTGTAAAATTTTAAAAAATTTTTGACCAGTGCAAACAAACAGTTCTTTATTTACTACAGCTATCACTGAGTTTATAGACGGCCATATTGGATTGCAGGTCAAGGTTGGTGCAATCCGTCAATTCCTTTTTTTAATTTTTTATTTTGAATTCTACATTTGGGTCCATTCTGTTCACTTTTCCTGTTTCACACTTGAGTAGAAATAACCAAACATGTACCGTGAATGAGAATCATTTTCGGCCGAGAAAAGTCCAGATGCAAGCGGTACTTTTTAAAATGATCATCTTTGCTGTGGTGCTTTTTACCACTATAACACTGAATACTTATTTGGAAAAAAGGAAGAAACCTGAGAACTCTTGCCAGAGTTATGTGAAATTCTCGACTTAATGTAAAACATCTGCCATTTTACAACCTTTATGCCACGTTTCACACTTGAAATCTTTGTTGTCCAGCCAAGTTTGTGTAGCACATTTCAGTAACAAGGTGATTCAAAGCGCTTTACATGACATGTAGTCCAAACACACTTCTCTCCATTGTATTATGTAACCGCCAAAATAATTAGCATTGTGTCTCAGATTGTGCTAATTAAATTTTTCTAACCAAATAACCAAAAGGAGAAGCCGTAATTTCTGATCAGTCAGCTGACCAGTAGGAGCCAATCAGGGTTTGTCTTTTGAAGGATTCGGGTTAGAAGAAAATAGTAAAAACCAAGCTTTGCTGAGAATAGGGTTCATCCCTGCGCCGTTAAAACAGTGTATTGAAGGCGACTCACACAGTGCTAAGTTCAATTCTGCTCAGCTTTGTGTGGAAAGTGGACTTTTTTAAATTGTGTTAGGAAGTTTTGTCAGGGATTTATTCCTGAAATAAGCTTTGTTTTGTCAAATGTACAAGACTAATTTCTCCATAAATAATAGAAAGGAGGGGTGGGGGATGAAAAATTTAAAAATATGTTTTCAAAAAGTGACACAGACGTTCAACAAACCTGCCAGAGAAGTGGAATGTCTGGCAGGTTTTCAAGACATCAAATACCATGAAAGAAAGTGCGGTGTGTAGAAGAGGCGACGGGTTTTTCCCACTTACTTTTCCTCTGTAGACTCAAAGCTGAGTATTTCTGCCATGACATTGTCTATCTCCAACTTCAGCTTCTGCAGTGAGAACCAAGAGGAGTCAAACGCAGGCTGCATGAGACGTGAATGGCTTCTAACGAAACATTACCTGGATGTCGTCCAGAAGGTCCTTCTTATACATTTTGATGCTTTCAATCTCCAGCCTTTCATCAGCTGTGAAGTCTGAAGAAACTGAACAAAATATTAGAACAAACAAAAAAAAAGAAATGTCAGACTGAGTCCTGGTTCTTCAACAACTTCCATTATGTCTGCAAATTCTGCCAAAAGGAGAAGCAATTCATATTTAAACGGGATATTGTCTTTTTTACAAAGTACTTTTTGCTCTAATTTCTAGTACAAATATGTAGGTTCACTTGTAATAAGACAAACCTGACCTTACATGCATCAGCTTGCTTTAAGTTAATAATTGTTTAATATTAATGAAAAACAATTAGTTCCTTTGGCAGATAGACCTATAACTAGAACCTTTTCATCAAGATTAAGGAATTATGGACTTAAAACAAGCTCCCATATCTTGTTTTTAGTGTTACTAAAAACTTTGAAATGTCTCACAAACTTAGTGTTGTGAGATATTTGCACGAGAAATTTGACCAAAAGTACTTGGTAAAACTGAGTGTTTGTGCAGTGAAGCTTGTCGTTCTTTTCGATTTGCGACAAACGCCGACTCAAAGCACTTTGTTAAAAAAAAAAAAAAAATTATTAAGGTGACTTCAATTCAATCACACATACGTTGATCCAAGTTAGCAAATGAAGCGTTAAGCTCAGTTAATCCCACATAATGAGCATGCATGTAGGCGACAGTGGGGAGGAAAAACTCTCCTTTAACAATAATTAATGTTTCAGGAAACAGAACACACCAGCTTTATTTTAGTCTTTAAGAAATACAAAATAAGATCACCATGATGCTCCTCTGGTTACTCACTTTGATCTGAGTGAGAGTTAACTTTCCCACAGCTGTATTTTTTTTTTTTTTTTGCACTATTATAATATTTGCTCAATCAAATGTGAGCATTAAAATGTTCATGTGCAGCGGCCATTTCCAGTAAAAACTGATTAGCATAAAAGAACAGAAGTCACGTATTTCAGTTTCTAATATATATTAGAAACTATGTATGTATGTATGTATGTATGTATGTATGTATGTATGTATGTATGTATGTATGTATGTATGTATGTATGTATGTATGTATGTATGTATGTATGTATGTATGTATGTATGTATGTATGTAGTTAGAGAAATGGCAGCTGCCAGCTCTTCCTTAGTGATGTGGCTTGTTTGCTGTTAATGATCTGACCACAACTTCCACTTCTCCACCCTTCCTTTGCTCATCTCGAGAAGCAAAAGCTTAAAGGCACATCCCGTCACAAATACACCTCAGTCTGGGTTTTCTGACGATAAACAAAGGAAGCTGCAAATTTACGCTCACCTTGTTTGAAACTAAAAACTAGTCTGTTTATCTTTTGAAATCTTAGATGGCAACTTCTGTTTTTTTTTGTTTTTTTGGTATTATTACGTCTGATGTCCTCTGACTGACTATGAGTGTCTCTTCTGCATTTTCAGCTGAGAAGGGCCCTTTTTTTTTTTTTTCTAAAGCTGGTTGCTAACAGCAACAAGTGCTTACCACCGTGCACCAGTGACATAAATCATCAAATGTTACCCAAACGCTGTTTTTGGGGGGGAGTTTAGTTGTTGTTTAGCCTAACACACCAGGTCAGACTGTGAAATATATATTGTAAGTACATTCATACCACAAAAACACAGAAAGTGGAGAGGCAAATAAATAAAAACAGATTAAGACAAATGATACTTGAGTAATTTGAGTTGTGACTCCTGGTGTCCCAAATCTAAGGCTGTATCACATTGTCACCAGTTTGTTCAGCATATTAAGACATCTTTAAGATAAAACACACAGAGATTTGCAGATGAAAATAAAAACAAGATCCGATATGACCTCCAAGTACTCCCTCTATCATTCTACAATGTCACTAGTTTTTATTGTTATTGTTTGACAGTTTAGATATATATTTTGCATATAAAGGCAGTTTAAATAAAGGTAACCAGTTACATTCCTATCCTAATGTGTAAAGTTATCCAATAAAATACAGCGACAAAAACACCAAAGCGTCTCTTACCCATTTGGCAATCGGTCATTTATGGCCCCAAAAGTGATGAAAGAAATGTTGGCGGCTCTAGAGAGAGAAGCACAGAGAAGTGATGGGCAGCTGCAACAGAGAGCTGACTTTAAACCACACCTCTTCCTCATCCATCACACTTCTACAGGACAAACACATGAGCAACTTTTCAAAATAAAGCCTTTTAAAGCATCTTATTCTAAAGAAGGATCATTTGGTACTAAATTAACATTTTATTTGCTGCTAACTGGGAGGCGGAGGGCTTGTTTCTAATTCAACGTTGAGTTTCTGATGAAGGTTTAGTCAGATTTAGCATATTTGCATCAGATTTGCGATGTTTTCATCAGCCAGAAGGACTGATATATCCACACACTGAAATACTATTGATCGCGTGCTTCATTTCAGACTTCTTGAGGTTAAGTTGCAGCTGCGTCAGAATTTAGTTTTTACAAAATGAGGAGGGGGAACGTTCCAGCTGAAGCGGGAACAAAAAAAATTCTGAAAGGAGAACAAGGTCTGTGCAACCGGTGTGAGCGGAGCACAGCAACTGTGTGGGTCAGAGGTTAAAACAGGATGAAGGTGATGCTACAGCGCCATCTCATGGTCAACGAACTAAATCACGGGTACTGCTGCTGGGTGTGTTGGTTGTTTTCTGAAGCAGGAAAAAAAAAATAAGCAGAACATAAGTACATGTGAAATGTAATTGACTCAGTTGCTTTGGTGTCTGAAACTTGTGTAAGTTCACACCTCAAACACAAGACATGGGAGCTTGTTTGAAATCAATAATTCTTGATTATTAACACAAAAAAGTGTAAATTTATAACAACATATTTCCCCCATATTATTAGTGAAATATTCTGCCAGCGGAACTAGGACTTTATCATCAATATTAAGGAATTATTCCCTGTCACCAGTGACCTCACATGTAACCCACTATCTGTTATTTTGTTCCGTCTAATATACCACATCAGACTGTGAAATTAATTTGATCTACATCTACGCTACAAAAACTGAGGAAGTGGAGAGAAAACAACTTAGATATATTTTCACCATTGCTGAATAGTTACTTGTACGTTAATGAAGTGAACTTTTCTCTTATTTTAAGTGCTCTAAGATATTTGCATTAGAAACCAGGTTAAGAAATACTTGGTAAGTAAAGTTGGGGTTATTGTTGTCCTCAGACCCTAAACAGGATTAATCGGCTATAAAACACAGATGTTAAGACGAATGTCGTAATTTGTGAAACCTCATTATGTCTATAAGACCTGTTATAGGTCCAGGGCTTTAGCATGTGAAAGCCCTGGTTCTGGTTCATCGCTGGGGTCTTCCTGATACGTTTTTGGGGCCCAGCTGAGCCCCATCAGCCAAGGCTCATCAACCAGGTTCTGGCTGGTGAGCTCAGCTCCTGCTAATAATAGGCCAACTGTGTGGATGTTTGATTCATCGCTGTTTGTGACTGTTTTACCGTCAACTAAACATTTTTCTATCTTATTGTTTTCTGAATTAGCTAACATTACCCTATTTATAGTGTGTTTGTCACTGTGTGAACAATGTGTCTTTTTTGTCATCAATCAAAAATTTGCTAGTTTTACAAATTTGCTAAACTAGCTAGCTGCCATTACTGTATGAGTTGTGCCAGTGTTTCTGTGCGTGTTGGCTCTTGCATGTTTGCATGCATGTTGCTAATCAGGCTTGTTTATAATTCAAACATATATATATATTTACTTTTAAATTTCCTCATCCACTTATGGAAGAGTGTAGGATCTGTCGCTCATACATCTAAAGGCAAAAGTTCTTTGTCCCTTCCTATCTACGCTTCTGTCCAAAGTCCGAAGCCAATTGGACTTCGAACTTTGGACAGGTGGCCAGCGCTGAGCAACTGTATTTATAACTGTAACTAGGCCTGCAAGGCAAAACTTTGCAGCGCTTTTCTGTAAGGTTAATACCAGAATCATCATTTATAAGTTGTGCCGTTATGTCTGTTTTGGAAGTATTTTGCAGTTTTGTAATGACACTTGTAATTTTAATGTTTATATTTATGCTGTACAGCACTTCGATCCCTTGCGGTAATGTAAAACATTGGATTGGATTGGATTGGATTGATGGTAACATTGAGAAAGCCATATTGGGCCCTCGTCCGCAGTGACATAGGCACCACCATGTCTTTAGTGGTGAAGAAAAAGCTGCGCCAAAAGCCAAAGTTTTTACTTTTCAAATCTGTCTACGTAACGCCCCTTTCCTAGGGTAATGAGAGATGAATTTCTGACAAAGGGAAGCAATTACCGGTACAAATGTGTGAAATTTGCTTTTGTCCATTAAATCTGTTGGACCGGCCGTCGTGGTATGATGCACAACTCCATGATCCAGTGGAACATTTGGAATAGCACCAGTGGTCCTCATCAAAACAATCAGTTGCGGTGCTTTGGGCATCGACTCAAAATGGTCTCAAGACATGTAGAAGATAATAACAGATTGGTGTTCATGCGCTGAATGGTGCTCTTGAGAATGGCAAGCAAGACTGTGTTACTGTCAATTTCTAATGCATTTTTTTCCCCCGAACTCACGGTTTTTAAGTCCAAACCTTTGTATTTCAAGAGGAATTAGCAACAGAGTAGTGCTTGGTTCGGTGTGGCTGCTGGTGTGCATGCAAGGCAAAGGAGGAAGTTTCAGATTGAGCTTTTATAATCAGCAAACAGTCTTCCTCTTTTTTTTTTTTTTTTTGCTGTTTGAATTGATATTTTCTTTATCAATTTCATCAGAAACAATCGGTAAAACATTTCCATGAGAAAACTCTTCAAAGTCATGCCACTCTGAAGAAGAAGGAAAAAGTGACAAAAAGAAAAGCAAACAGGAAGTAGAAGATGCGTGCAACGAGTAAGGAGGAGGGTGAGCATGAGAGAAGAAGAAGAGGCAAAGGCTGCATGAGGGGAGAGGGGAAGAGGGAGGGAGAGAGAAAGAGGGAGGTGTGCAACAACTTCCTGTAGTTGCATGCTGATCCGAGTCTTTCAACCTCTCCTCTCTGAGTGTGTTTGTCGCAGAGCGGAGCAGAGACGAAGCTGAGCGGAACAGGATGCAGGCCATCAAATGTGTGGTCGTTGGAGATGGGTACGCCATTATTTCTTCTTCACTTTTCTTGCCTTAGCTTCAGCTGCCCGCCTGGGGTTGTCTCAAAAGTTTAGATCGGTTGATGGAGTTGTGATGATGCCAGAGCTTAGGCGTCAGGATTCCAGCAGAGAAACGAGGCTGAATCAGAGTTTCACCAACTTCCGCAGTGATGCGTCGATAACTCAAATGAAGACGGTCCCGCGTTAAACCCGTAGCTTTCTCTGTATTTTTTTTTTTCCTTCTTTTTGATGGTTCTGATTTTGCTGTGGGGGCACCGAATGAGCTGTGCAGGTCACAACATGCAGGAAATTGCTTTGAAGGAGCAAAGTAAAAGAGAAGGGATTAAAACAGCTGTTGATTAAAGGAGAAAATAACAGGAAAAAAAAACAGAATTTGGTGAATTTATTTGCTTGAAACTCTTCTCTTCTGACAAATTTGAACCATGTGTCACATAAATAAAAAAAGAAAGACAAATTGCTTCTCAAAGCAACATAATTGAGATGATTTTTTCAGACTAAAGCTACTTTCCTGGCCCAGTTGAGCGATGAAAAAGGCAGTTAACCCATTGGAGGTTTCACACAGGTAGTGCGGCTGCATTTCCTCATATGCTGAGCTTCCTGTTGCACATCTCTAATTTAGAGATGTCAAGCAGACGCAGAGGAACTAAGCGACGACATATGATTAACGTTGCTCATCAGTAAAAGCCAAAGCACGGTGGGTTGATGCTTCCACTGCCAAAAATGTAAACGCAAACTGAGTGACAATCCAAAGGTTGAAGCAGTAAGTGGAAAAGAATAAAAAAATTGTCAACGGTAGGAGGTTTTACTTTCGTGTCAGAAACACAACACTCAAAACGCTCCTCTTTGGATGATTAAAAATAGATAATGACTTTAGGAACAGGAAAAAGCCAGCATCTCGTGTAAAACTGCTATTTAAATGCTCTCAGGGCAACATTTTCATGTTTCGTTGATGCAGCGGCAGAGACTTGAGTTGCGCTGGTGACGCAACGCCAGGTCGAGCTCGGGCTTGCAAGCTGAGCCCTGTGGAAACTATTAAAAGAAGTGGAGCAGCTGTGCGTTTTGGGTGAACACGTGTCTGCTGGTCTGACAGTGCATCTCCCAAAAGAGGAAGTCGGTTTTAGATTGCAGGGAAGTTGGCTCTTTGAATCTCCATATAACCTTCAGGTTAAACTTGACCGCTTTAAATATTTATAACCTGATGGGACAAAAAAAACAAACAAGCTTGATTTAAAGTCTTTCACAGGTCAGAGTTCCAGTTTGACCTATAAAACATGCAATTCTAAAAATATTTGAGAGAAGTGAAAAAAAGAAGGACGTCTTGGTTGAAAGATTTTTTGTGATGAACACAGCTCTGCATTTCATGAAATTACTTCAAAATTGATCAGAAATACCAATAAATGTAAAACTGTCACTTCTTAGGGTAGACCGATTAAATCCATGGCATTTTAAGCTGATGAAGCTTTTACCAATAGCAGTACTTCAGTGAAGGAATTAAATATCTAGGACGCAAATGGTAGAAAGCAAAGACTTTTAATTTTATCCACTTTTTAAAATCCATCCATGCGCTGTTGCCATTAAGTAAAATATTTACCGGAGCAGTATTATGTTTTTTTTTCAGGCACATAGTGACATTTTATAGCACAATTAAGTAACGATGTTAGCTTCAGTTGTTATAAAAACATTACATATATGAAACATAATTTGAAAGAAATTTTACTTTAGAATTTAACACCATAATATTGGGCCTCTGTCTCTTTAAGAAGCTCCTGCTCTTTCTGACACTCTGCCTTCAACATGTTACTACTGACAGTTCCACCAGGTGTTTGCTAATTGCTGCTGGCTAGTCTGAAGGAACCGAGCGGGGGAATCTCGGGGAGGAGAGGAGATCTGTGAGGCTTGTAAACTGCCGCTCAGGGGAGGAGCTTCGTCCTCAAAGGCAGAGCGAGGTCCAACCAGGCG